CCAAAGGTTTCATTGCGTGCCTTCAGATTTGTGGTGGTGGTGGCGAGGGACGTCGCTGAGGGCCCTGGTGGAATGGGGAGGTGCGCGTTATCCACGGTCCGCCAGGACAACCTGCCGAGTGGCAGCCGCAGAAGGGAAGACGCGTGAGAGGACGTCCACGTTGGAGTAAGACGGCTCGTTGAATCCCTGGGAGACTGTGAGAGAGATGGCGTCCGCTTGGTTGGGAGGCCTTCATCCAGCAGTGGATTACGCAAAGCTGCTGCTGCTGATGTGACTTTAGTGTGCGCCGTTTGCTTTGACCAGACGAGAACACGAGAGGCCGGGATAGTCTCTCGCTTGCGAGAGTGACCTGGGGTCACCAAAACGATGGACGCAACAACCAAGCAAGCGAGCAGAGCGGCGAGGCGAACGGACGACGGCGACGATGACGGTGCAGCCTGCCACAGGCCGCTGCCGGCGGCCGGAGCGACCGAGGCTTTGGCGGCCGCGTCGCCGTGGGAGATGCGAGGGGGGGGATCCAGGCCCCACGCAGCGTGCCGCTAACACAGGCGCGCGATTGTGCGACGCTGGCACGGCCTTGAGGACCGCGCTCCGAGGTGGCTGAGGAGCGCGGATGGGCAGGGGGCAGGGCGGGGGAGGGGTGGGGGTGGGGTGGGGGGCAGGGCGGGGTGGGGGGGGGGGGGGGGGCAGCCGGGAGGGGCCAGGAGGGGTGAGGCCGGTTTAGGCCGGCGTGAGAGTGCGAGTGTGTTAATGTGTGAGGGATTGTGTGTGTGTGGGTGGGTGAGAGCGAATATGAGGGTGTTTGAGAGTCGGAGGGGGTGGTGTGTTTTGAGTGTTTGTGTGTGGAGGAGGAGGCTCATAAAGGAGGAGGCTACAGGGCAGTTAGAGGCAGTCGCCCTCCAACAACAGCGGAAGGCGGAGGAGTAACGCTCACAACAACGAGCCGAGCGCCGGGTGAATAATACGCAGCGAGTTGGCACAGTGGGGAGCACTGGCGGTGCATCTGCCGGTTATCTCGGTCTGTCAACCCATGGCACCTGGGTCTGTCCCGTGATCTCCTGTCGGCTATATACTTCACGTGGCCTCAAAGTGCACCTCGCCTGGCACTAGCGCTGTGGCGATGTCACCACAGCTAAAGTGGCTGTTGCGAGTGAGATAAGTGTGAGAAGTGGGAGCGTGTGCACATGTAGAGCCATGATGTCAATCCACTGCTGGATGAGGGCCCCTCCCCACGCCGTCCACGTGGTGGTTGTTATTTAACGGTGGCCTCACCATTGTTACCATCGTCATCACTGTCATCATAATCGCTGTAATCATCGTCATTCGTATGATCATTATGGTGGTCATTCTGATCATAATCATTAACGCATCAACGGTTGATGTACAATCTCATTTCGCCTCCCCCACCGTCCCAGCCACAGTGGCACCCGTGATGTGCGTGGGGGGTAGCAGCAGCAGCAGCAGCAGCGCATGAACTCAGCCCCACAGTCGCCAAACTCGATTTTTCTTTTCCTTTTTTTATTCCGCCCCACGCGCCCGCACGCCCACGCGGTTCTTTTTAAGTAATCTGCGTGTGTTGCTGTTTGCGTGCGTGTGCGTGCGTTGCTGTGTGTGTGCACGCGTGTGCGTTGCTGTGTGTGTCTGCGCGTGTGCGTGCGTTGCTGGCTGCGCCCATGAGTCCACGAGCCGGGTAGCCGTGCGAAGCGCCGCTTGGAAACCATCGCGCATGTGTGGGAACGTGTGTGCGCGTTCATGTGCGTGCGTCTGTGTGTGTGTGTATATCTGCGTGTGCGTGCCACTGGGGTGACAAAGGCGCCCGAGCGTGGTGCTGGCCACCCATCCCCTCGTGTGCTTTGCCGGCCATCATAGGTGCTCGCTACCAACACTTGCCCCCACAGTCTGTTAAGGCTATAAGGGGTTCTTTGTCTTTGGGGCGGGGGGGTGCAGTGGTGAGCGCACCACGCTACGAACCCAGGAACCCGTGGTCGATTCCAGCTCACGGCCAACCCCAGTGACGATTTTAACCGGTCCTGGACTTCCCCGAGGTGGACTCAGCCTAAAATGAGTACCTTGTGCGGTGTGTAGTAAACATCACCACTCGGGAGACAATGGCGGCTGTGGTGCTGGCCACCCACCCCCTCGTGTGCCGGCCTTCATAGGTGCTCGCTGACAGCACTTGCCCCGAGAGTGTGTGAAGGCTATACGGGGGATCTTTGTCCTTGTATACAGGAAGCGGGAGTGTGGTGGTCGGCCTGCTGCTCTACAAACTTGGCCACCCGATTTCCATTCCCAACTCACGGTCAACACCGGTGGACGAATCTCAACCGGGTCCTTGGGCCTCCTCTAGGTCGACTTTGCCTCAAATGAGTAGATGCACCTGGTGCGATGTATAGACATCGCCACGAGGCAGCCGGGATTGGTGCCGGCCACTACACCACCCCCTCGTGTGCTACTCGCTAACAGCTCCTGGCCCAACAACTGCTAAGCGGCTGTGTGTCGTCCGAGATGAACCCCGTCCCCCCCACCGTACGTACCCAGCCAATGACGCTTCCACCATTGCACCTGATGCTGCTTGGCGTGCATTGGGGGGGGGGGGGGGAGCGGCCCCCTTGCCACAACCCCTGCCAGGAACCTCGTGAAGCGAGGCGCAGAGGCATTCTCTCAGAGGAGGCAACGGGCGAGAGAGCCTTAATGCACTTGCGGGGCTGGCTGACCTAAGCGAAGGCCGTCTGTTTGCGTTTGTGTCATTTGTGTGCGCGTGTGAGTCTGTCTATGTTTTTCGCCGTGTTTGTACATCTCTGGTTGGTGCGTCTGTGTATGCGCGTCTGTGTGGGGGAGCGGTAGCGTAGCGGTTAGCACGCTGCACTACGAATCGGGTGACCCGAGTTTGATTCCCGCTCGCGGTCAACACCGGTGACGATTATCTGAATCGGTGCTGGGACTCCCATCGGTCGACTCAGTCTCAAACGGGTATCTGGTGTGCAGTGTGTACTCATCGTCACTGGGGAGACAAAGGCGACTGGGCGTGGTGCTGGCCACCCACCCCCTCGTGTGCCGTGCCAGCCTTAATAGGTGCTCGCTAACAGCACTTGCCCCAACAGTCTGTTAAGTCTACACGAGGGATATTTGTCTTTATCGTGTATGTCTGTCAGAGCGACTGCGTCTCCGTGTGTCAGCACGTGTGAACGCATGCGCATCGGTGTTAATGCAGGGGGTGGCCCGTGTTTCGGCAGCACGTCGCTATTGATGCAGGCTGCTGGTGTTAACGCAGGGTGCCTGGGCCACCTGGTCACCATTGGCAGGGGAGTGGCGTTGCGGGCACCAAGTTGCTACGGCTGCGTGCCCCCGTCGCCGCCTTCGGGGTCGCCCACGCGCAACGCCGCTGCGCCGTCGGTCGTGCCGAGTTTGTGTTTTCGTCCTCGCTCGTGGGGCACCGGAACGGAGGCCGCTTGGAGGTGGGGGGGGAGGGGCAACCGGACCTCCAGGGCCACTTGACCACATCAGCTGGACCGCCGATAGAGAGTCACGTGACTGCTGGGGGGGGTGGGGGGGGTCGCTGTGCCTGCGGGGCGGCTCTCGAAGAGCGTCTTTGACCGAGTCGCCCGTCACCGAACTCCACGGCACTCAGAAACTCTGAGCAGGCTTTGAAATGGGACGGTGCCTGCATGGGTGACCCCCGCCGTGCGCGCCAGGCCGTCGTCGTAGGCTGCTGCGGGGAGGCTACGTCGTGAACGTACGTGGGAGGGCTGCGTGAGGGTGGGGGTGGGCCTTTGTGGCCTTTGGGGGCTTGAGGCCTGTTGAGAGATTCCACTGCTGTTGGGGTGTCCCACGGCTGTTGGGGTGTCCCACTGCTGTTGGGGGGTGGGGGGGGGGGCTCTGGCTGTCGGGTGGCTTCACAGCTCTTGGGTCGCCCACGAGAGGTGCGGTGCCGTGGTCACCTGCCGAGCGTTCGTCGGTAGTCGGCTGTTTGTGTGAGACCCCGTGCCACAGCCAGTCGCCGTGTGTTGTTGGGTGCACTTTTTAGCACGGGCCTGGCTTTTGGGTGCATGTTGTAAAAGAACACTCCTTACACACCCCCCCAATCCTATGGGTGGGGTGGGGGGTCAGGGGGCGGCCCCGTGTCCTCAGATCACTGTTGCGGCGTTCGTCGGCCGGACGGCGGCCTCGTATGCGGGAGACGCGGCCGTCGTCCGTCTCGTTGGACCCCAACACGTGAGGGTTGCCACCTGTCCTGCTTTCTTTTTCTCCGCTGGATCTCGTCCTCTTTGTTGAGGAGCTAGCAGCTGTCTTGGGACATCAGAAGTCTTCTCCAGGATATTAAGATGCCTATATATTTTTTTGTCGTGCGCACGATGATGAACAACGATAATGATCCTCCACTCGAGACTGTGCCGGGGCGGCTCGGCGGGGGAAATTGACTCGGCCCATCATCCTTCCAGGGGTGATTAAAATTGGTACCACTTTGTGGTGAGATTAACAGTGGATAGTCCCCTCCCATCCCGCCTCCTCCCCCCATCCTTCTTATTCGCGTGAAACTCTCCCCTCTGCCCGCAGTACACAGTGCGACTTTTATTGTGAGATCCTCTTCCCACGCTGTGTCGTCCTGCAGGCACGCCGGGGCGCGACTCCGCGCCCTCCGCCGGCTTCCTTTGCTCTTGCGCGACCGACCGACCGGGCGCTGGATCGAGAACTTGATTTGTGGGTTTTGGCGTCTCTCTGGAAATTTGAGCGGCTGCGGTTCCGGTGACGTCCGGTTTGGGCGGGAGGGTGTAAAGGGGGGGGGGGTCTAAAGGGGGGGTGGAGGTGTTTTTGCGCCAGTTGATGGAGGAGGGGCGGGGCCGGCGGTACCTGTCCGGCGAGCGGCGCGCACCTGTGTGACGGAGCGAGCGAGCAGGTAGGGGGTGGGCAGCGCCGCGGAATTTTTGCCGGAGGGTGAAAAACTGGCAAGCGACGCGGTGTTCATTTCGCACGCCTCTCCGCACCCCCCCGCCCGCCTCCTTAGGGGCTGTGCAGTGAGAAGGTGGCGCGCACGTCGTTGGAAAGCTGCCTTAGCGTTGGAAGCCGGTGGATTTTTGTGAATTGGAAAATGTAAATGAGACTTCAACCCCATTCGTTCATATAGGAACTCCCTGCGGCCTTGATAGCCTACGATAGGTGACGTTTTGGCCAATGGGCCTTCTTCACAGCGCAGTGGGAGGCTGCCAGAGAGGTCGGGTTCAACTAATCTGCCGCTTGTTTTCCGGTTGCGTGCTCGGCTTCGCGCAGACAAGAGACGGAGGATTTGCGTTTCGTCGCCGGCAGTAAGCAGTGCAATGCCTTGTGCGAGCTGCTTCCCGAGTCCTTAGGCAGGCCCCTCCGTGCACTCTGGGGCACCCTCGGTGTGCTCTGCTAAGAGTTTATTTTCTACATTAAATGCGGGAATCTCCCGTGGGGAGGGAGAAGATGACCGCTCGCTAATGGATCGCGTGGGGGTGCCCACCACCACCAACTGGGAGAGGCGTCGCTCACGGTGAGTGAGGCTCCACTGTGCCGCGTGCCAGGCTGTGCGCGCTCCGGTCGTGCCGCAGTGTTTCGTCGTTGTTATCCTTGTTGTTCGGCCGATGATTTTGCTCCACGTGCCGGCAGCCGCTTCCTTTAAGAAACGATTCGGTTACTGAAAAGCTCCTTACGCGTGGCGCGAAATCGTCGGACGTCGCTGCGGAACGACGGACGACGATGCGTTTCGCCCACGACACAAAAAACAGCGCAGGGTAGAGCCTCGTGCCGTTCGCTGCTCGTTTCACCTGCCGCCTCTGGGCTTTTCCTGTACTGAGCAAGGTACAGGCCTCGAAGCACCTACTGCGTCTGTGGCTGGCGCTGGTGTGCGCGGGCGACTTGCAGGCGCGGGGGGTGAGCTTCCCCCCTCGCCGCCGGCCCCCGCCCCCCCACCAGGGCGAAGGGGGGGCCAGGAGCCCCGCAGCCTCGTTAAGCTCCGGCTCGGGCGTGCGTGTGATCATGTTTCAGCCGGGGCGGCACCTGTCACCGTCTCGTCCTGGGCAGCTGCCTCCGGAATGTCTGCCGCTTGTCCACGCGCGCGTGCGCCTCCCCTCCCGCCCGGCCGCCGCGGCTTGGCTGAGAAAATGTTTGCGTGCCTTGTCCGCAACCGTGTGCTTGGTCAACTGCCCGTTGGCACCAGCGCCACCACCACTGGCCACTATCAGCAGCAGCAGGTGGTGGTCGTAATGGGTAGTCGTGTGGGTTGGCATATCTCAACCCAGATAGCCTGTGTTATCGTTATTATTCATTGCGCACGGTTTGCCCAGGAAGGCCTCGCCGAATCTCAAGAGACTCTTTTTTTCCCGGAGGGGCTTGCCAACTTTTGCAGCAGATAATAAGCACGGTTTATAAGGCGCGCATATTTCGAGAACGTTCGATCGAGTACTCGGGAGGCGCTGAACCCGAGTCCGTAGTCCCTTGTATACCAGCCTGGCTGGATGAGAGCCTGGACGGGGTGATGTTGCCACGTGTTCATCACAATTGAGTAAATTTCAGGTAATTAGAGATGGGCTGTCCTCTATATAAGCCGGTTGAGAGGTAATTTAGACCACTTGTCTCTTGCCGTAGAAAGCGGGGAGGGTGAGCGTTCGTACCTAGAAAACACAAACACAGTGCTCAGCATACTTTACGTGTTTGCATACGTACACACAAAGACTAAGATCTCCCGTGTAGCCTTAACAGGCTGTTGGGGAAAGTGCTGTTAGTGGCTAGCACATGTGAAGGCCAGCACGGCACACGAGGGGATGGTGTGGCCAACAACACGCCCGGCCGACTTTGTCTCCCCAGTGCTGATATTTACACGCTACACCAGATACTCATTTAGGGCGCAGTGGACCTAAGGGAGGCCCAGGACCAGCTCACATATTCACCAGTGATGTTGGCCGTGAGCGAGAATCTAACTCGGGTCGCTGGGCTTGTAGCATTCGGATCGCAAGCCACTGTGCCACCACTCCGTGAACGTTTTCGTACGCACACAGATGCACACAGACCCACACACACACAGAGAACATACGCACACACGTACGCACACGTGTCCCCCATAGTTGAGTGCTGACGGTGCACACCAGCTGCTGCGGTGCGGTGTGCGAGGCGGAGCCCCCCTGCATCATCTGCCAGCGGGGCCGCCAGGCACCTGTGCGTGTGTGTTGGCGTGTGACGTGTGTGTGCGTGTGTGTGCATCACGGTTTGAAACATTTCGACTGGCCTGCCTGTACGATCCATGTAGCCCGCATGCCCAGCCACCGCGTGGCCAAACAGCTTCTGTTTGGCTGGATGAAGGGGGCTTAATTGGGCACGGCAAGGGCTAGAGAAGAGATTGGCTGATGTCGTACGGGAGGATGTGGAGCTGAGTGGACTTGCCGATGACTGGTACAGCAGTGTCAAGATCGGCCTCTGTGGAGGAGGCTCGTGAAGGACGTTGCTGCTACTGGGCAGTTGGAGGCAGTCGCTCTCCAACAACAGCGGAGGGCGGAGGAGCGACGCTCAACAATGGGTGCAGCACCGGGGCAGATAAAACGCAGCAAATTGGCACAGTGGGGGGCACAGGCGGTGCATCTGCCAGTCCTCTCAGTCAATCAACTTATAACACCTGGGTCTGTCCCATGACCTGTCAGCAAGGCTTTGACACTTATGTGGCCTCAACGTGCACCTAGCCTGGCACAAGCGCTGTGGGGACGTCACAGCCACTGTGGTGAATGGTGGCTGTTGTTGTAGTGGTTAAGGTACTGCGCTATGAACACCGCAACCCGAGTTCGACTCCTGCTCACGACGAAGAACAGGCCTCCGCAGCAGCCTCGGGCGGTGCGCAAACATCGGCACTGGGGAGACAAAGGCGACCGGGCGTGGTGCTGCCTTCATGGGTGCTACTCGCTAACAGCACTGGCCTCAACAGTTTGTTCACGCTATATGGGGGGGGGGGGGGGGTTTTTGTGTGTGTGTGTGCTTGTGCTGTGCTGCATGTCTGTGTGGGTCGCCTGTTAAAAGCAGCAGCATTTATGGTACTTGGTGGCGATGATTGTAATGGCGATAATGGTGATGGGCAGTGGTGATGCCAGTAGATGCGATAATGATTGTGGTGGTAATGGCGATGATAGGAATGATACTTGGTGATGGTGGTGGTGACGAAGAAGGGGCTTGGTAAGTGGGGATGATGGGTGGCAGTGCGATGGTGGCAGCCGAAGGCTATGGTTGGCGGGTGGTAGCGGTGGCGATACGGTGGCTTCTGCCGTTGGCGGTGGCGATGCGCCGGTGTTCACGGAGGCCACCGGCCCACAGCGTGACGCACCGACTGGGGGGCGTGGCGGCCGTCTGCCCCCCCCCCCGGGACGTGCGGATTGCGTCGTGATGACTTCACCGCGGTGACACGCCAGGGCCTGCCCGCGCTGTCCTCGTTTCTGTCATTTGTGATGCTGGCACTCGGATATTTGTCCGTGCACCGGCCTGTCAGATGGCCCCCAGGCCTGCGAGTTCCATAAAGAGGTGGGGGTGGGGTTAAACCTGGCCACCCCATCATTCCTCTGCATTCACGACAATCGCACCTCCGAGAATTGAGTCTATATACACATTGCACCGGTGTACACACAGAGTGAAGGCCCACAACGGGATCGTGAGATGATGTGGGTGCACGTGTGTGTGTGTGTGTGGGAGGTCAGTCAGTCGATCTGTGGCACCTGGGTCTGCCCCGTGACCCCCTGCCAGCGGGCGTTCGATACCTCACGTGGCCTCAAGGTGCACATGGCCTGGCACAAGCGTCGTGGTGACGTCACCGCCACTTAGTGGCGAATAGCGGTTGTTGTTGCTGTGGGGAGCGTGAGCACACAGTGTGTTAGCGCGCTGCGCGACAAACCTGCCAACCACAGTTCAATTCCCACTCGCGGTTCCACACCAGTGACGATCATCTGAACCGTTCCTGGGGTCTCTCCCCCCAGGACGACTCTGCCTCAAATGAGTACCTGGTGCGGTGTGTAAACATCGCCGCTGGGGAGACAATAGGTGGTGGGCGTGTGTGGTCCTGGCCACTCAGCCCCATGTATGCGTCATCCCACTCTTGACAGGTGGTCGTTAACAGCACTTGCCCCAACAATCTGCTAAGGCCACATAGGTGGGGGGGGGATCTTTGTCTTTGGGACTGACGTGTTAGCCTGTGTGCTCACAGCCCTCTGCGTGTTTTGCCGCCAGCGCAGGTAGGTCAACGGGGGGCCGTCGGCACCGCTTTGTGCGCAGCCGAGAGCGTTGCGAGCCAACGCTGTCGTCGCGTTCGAGCGATTTCGCAGATAGAGACGGACGCCGGTGATAACCTTTCCACGTGAGAGATAAAGAGCCCATTGAGACCAGGAGAGTGTCTCCGAAGGAGGGCCCCGGGTTTGAATTGCCGTCTCGGCAACACCGGGCGCGTGCCAGCGGTCGCGAAGCGTTCGTACTGCGCTCGCAGAATCAAAACCCAAGGTGACGGGGGTTTGAGATCACCAAACGCTTCGTCGTTTGAACGAGTGTAGTAAAAACGACAGCGGAGTCGCATTTTAACGTGTGGCCATAAAACAAGCGATGGCCGAATATCCCGGGCGCCGCATGTTCGGCGGTCACGGCGACGCCTCTTCACGGTTCTCCTTTGAAGGCTGCAGTTGTTTGCCGATGTATTCCTACATTGGTGCCGCAGTCCGCAGTGCGCGGGGGGAGGGTCTTTTCATTCTCAACATTCAGCAATATTCCCGTGTGCGGGCTCTACGGCACGTGCGCAGAGAAAGGAGGGGGTTTTCCGTTTTGTCATTTCTGCCTTTTGGCCCATGGGCCGGGGCAGACATCGGTGCTACCCGCATGGTGTCAAAACTCTTTCATCGCACCGGTTTATTGGCATGGCCAATGAGAGTCGACGATTCTGACCCCCCCCTGACCCCGCTCATTTCAAAGTGGTTGTCCCGTGATCAACCGCTATTGGCCACATTGAGAAGCTGGACTCCCCTCCCTCCCGGGAAGTAATGCCACCACAGGTGGCACCGACCAAGTATTCGTTAATTTTAGAACTGCTGTTTGTGTTGAGTTTGTCGTCCTTCCACCGTACCTCCAATTAGCACGGTTGGCTACGTACGGTGTGAAAGAAGTTCAACGTACAAGTACAGCATACCTGGCGTGGGCTCACGGCCCATGTGCGCACCCACTATTCCGTCCTTGCGCATGATGGCAGCGGCAATATGTTCAGGAGCTAAATTCCATTGTCGAGATCTGCTAGCCACAAGAGAGGGCTTCATGAAAGAGTTTGTGCAGTTTTGCTGACCCTCCTCCATTTGAAGGAGTGCCATACTACAGTGGTTTGCTATAGGGTCCATCGTTTGGGCTGCATGGCTAAAGTCGCATTGTTTCCCGTCTTGAATATATCTCGATGGGTCTCTGTGTCTCTGTGGGTTTACTATACGCTTCATAGTTTGGGTTTCATGGCCACAAAATTGCACGACTGTGGCTGTGTCTTGAATGTTCTAT